TTTTTTTTTTTTTTTTTAAGGGTACGTATACCCTTAGCTAGTTATAGGGACCCATCACTGTAGTACCTAGACACTCATGAGAGTCACTGTTTCAGGGGAGGGCTGATGTCAATTGAATTCAGGCTGAACAACAGGGAGACCACGCATGCTATTTGGGGACACGTTCCTGAAAGCTCCTTCCCAGATGCATCACAATTTAACACGTTTGCACAGGGAAGGGAAACCCTGTCTGGGGAGATGCAGCTGTAGCAGAAACGTAGGCTGACCCAAGAACTTTAACAAAGTGGTGCTACATCTTTGTAAGTGGCACTTAGCTTTCAGCATCTAATTTCCCTGTTTGGGAGTGTGCATATTTCTCAATACATCAGACAAGAGGATGTAGCACTCTGCCTGAATCAGCTTATTTCTCTCCCAGCAAAGAAACTACCTTCAAAGCCTTATGCTTCTTCCTGACCGTTTGGTAGCTGGGACCCTCCATTAGCAAGTGAGGAACACAAGTGTGCCATTCACTGTGCGATGCTGTGACACACAAATGCTGCCCAATCTTGCTGAAGGATCCAGGCGGATGCCTGAACTTGCACCACAGAACAGAGACTCTCTCATCCCTTACCCAGTTTGACATGGATCTTGTTGCTCAGGTCGCTGTCCCGGTCTGGCGGGCTGGAGGTTTTGGACAGCTTGTTTGCCGACACCCTGTACATCACGCCTCCTATACAGCGATACCCTTTGTTCCTCCATCTCTGCTGCAGCTGCGGGGACTTGCCTCCTTGAGGCGACTGGCGCATTCGGTTTAACACCAGAGATCTGCAAAGACAAAAAGCCAAGAAGAGGAGGTGAGCTGTGTGTCCATACAGCTGCTGCACAAAGCTGCCCTTCTAAGATCCCTGGGCACCTCTGGCTGCAGGCAGCACTCAGGTGACACGGCCTAGCCTCAGTGGTGACCAGCTTCAGTCCAAAAGGGCCAGTACCTGCTAACGCCCCATGGGAAGGTATGGGGTGCCTCGCAATCCTTGTAATAACTGCAGGGACTCTCCTCCACTCTGTATCACAGCTCTGGTGGGAGAAGACTCCTTAATTCCCCGTTCCCTTTGTTTAACTCCACTGATTACTTCTTTAAGGGCTTTCCCCAACTCTGGGTACTATGAATAGGCTATTCCTAACTGAGTAATGGAGCTCCTAAAACAAACAAACCAGGAACCCCCCTTTAATATACCATATTTTCTCACATACAGCACACATTTTCCCCCAAGAAGCATCTGCTGGAATAGCCATAGGGAAGCACCAAGTAAACCCAGAGAGACGTCAAGTCCCATTTGCAAAAAGAAGCGCTACGAACGCAGGCTTGCCATTCTGCTTGCTGGTGGGACAACCCGCCACAGACCGTGCCCACGACTAACTGCTCAAAGTACATGGGGCCCTAATGCTTTAGCTCAGTGATCCACAGATCACTCCAGCTGTTTGGCCACATGCTTTTCAGGGCCTTCTGTGCAAGTCCTGCTAGTTATTCCTCTACCTCTTACTTGGCACAGCTAACATGGGCTCTTTGAGCTGCCTGGTGCCCACCCTAGCAGACAGGGCAGAGACTGGGAACTGAAAGACTAGGATTGTATGCACAGCGACTGGCATCTGCTTCTCCTTCTGCTGTAAAAGTGGATTTTACAGGCAGTGCAAGGGAGAATGGAGACCAACCCATACCTTCCTAGCGGCCAGAGAGCAACCCAAGCACACAACCCTGGGACTCCTGCAACACTAAAGGGGTGGATTATTCCTGGGATCTGTCTATGACCCCATCGGATGCAGAACAGCCGCTAAAGGTAGTGAACCAACCCCACAGACCCTCTCTCCTGATTTGTGCTCGTTGGCTGCGGGAAGCCCCTGCAGTCGACAGCCCCAGCCTCTCCTGGAGGATACCCACCCACATCCAAGCAGCTCATTTTTGTACATATGCTGTTATGCAAACAGAGCTGTGGCAGCCAAATCCAATCCACTCAAATATCAGTCGTCTTAACCATTTAGCACTAATCCAAACAGTAATTTGTTTATGCAAATTAGAGCTCTAATTTTGTATTAGTACAAACTATGCTCATAATGCTATTAACAGAACGTATATAAACCGCACATTACTGAAGAATATCTGTAAATTAAGGCCTGGCATCCTATCAGCAAAATGCAAACCCTGGAGAGCATTACCTTTAAATGAAGATGTGCTGCAAAGAAAAAGAGAATTGTAAAATGTAATAGTTACATTTATTAGTGCTTAGTGTGACAGTCTATTCATTTAATGTAGCTGTTGCCATTGGCTACCAACCTCCTATATTTGCTGGCAAGTCTCCACAGAAGCAGGGAGAGAAACCTCCGAATGAAATGCTTTGCTGCATCATTCGGGGGCGAAGCCGCTGGCTACCCCTTCCACGTGCTGCTTCAGCTCTATTGCAGGCCTCTGAAGCTGCACTCACATCCAGTTGCTCTCCTAAAGGGAGCAAAGGCATGCCCTGTAATTACTGTGCAGCAAAGCGTGCATTTCTAATGGAGGAGCACAAGCCCCGCCACGGGGATCCCGGAGAACAGGCAGCTCTGGGTCAACCTCTGGGGCTGCCGAGATTCACGTGGCGGCACCGGATGAAACGAAGCTGAGTTCGAGTCGCTCGCAATTCTCCCCGCTGACCCTCTCCCGGCTCCCGTCCTAATGAGGAAGCCCACGGCCGGGTGAGGAAGGACACCCGAAGAGTAAGGGCGCAAGCTGGGCCTCGGCAGGGCCAGCTGCAATTCGCAGCACTGATGTATTTTCTCACATACATTGTGCTCCAAGGGAAGGTGCACACCTTGTTCTTGCAAGGCAGAAGGAAGAAAGGTCTTTCCTTGCAGTAACTGAGTAGCAACAGTTAGGTATAAATAACTCTAACCCTAATTCCTTGCTCTGCTCCCTGTGGACTGGCTGCAGAGTTGCTTCCAACTTCACCTGGCAGAAGTTTAAATGGCAGAAACTGTTACCATATTTCCTCATATAAAACAAGCGCCCCAGTTGCCAGCGGATGCTTTTGTGGGGAAAAGTTGTGCCTGTATGTGAGAAAATATGGTATATTAAAGGGGTTTCCTGGTTTGTCTGTTTTTAGGAGCTCCGAAAATAGCAACTATTCAAGCACCTTAGATAGTAAGCTTGACTCAAGTAGCCACTGGCACGGAAATGAGAAACAACCCTCAGCAGTGATTCTCAGCCAGGATGTCGTGGTGCCCTGGGCTGCCATCACAGCCTTGGAGGAGTGGTGTTGGAAGAAGAGATAAGCGCAGGCTCTTCCCTACCAGCTGCTGCTCCTCTTCCTTGGCCCCTCCTCAAGCAGGTAAGCACTATATTAAATAAATTAGTTTTTGAAATGGGGTGCCACTCAACTCACAACAGTTACAGAAGGGTGCCTTGAGCCTAAAATGGTTATGCCAAGAACCACATCTCCTACTGCACCCTCACCCACTGCCATTCACCAAGGCTTGCAGCTGGCCCCTGCAGCTGCAAAGAGCTTTGCCACCGAGCCATGGTGCACAGAGTGCATTATGCAAGCTCTTGCGGGTGCTGGAATTTCCCTGGGCATCAGTCTCCTAGCTGGTCGTCTTCTGGGCTTGGCCTTTCTAGGAAACTGGACTAGATGATGCGAGAGGAAACACAGGACTATATTGTATATGTTCTTAATGACGTAAATGGACTCTGACAGCATAGGGATGGACATAGTAAAGTATATATAATACATCATGTTAAACGCATTATCATCAGAATAATAATTTAGTGTAACAATATCTCACTCTGAGCACAGCAGGCGACCTGATCTTAACAATTCCACAGGCCCTTTCCTCCCAGCCAAACACTTCCCAAGATACAAAACATACCATGAGGAGACATGCTCTCAAGTGGCTTCACGCTGATGATTCCTGTGCTCCCATTTTGCTGAACCATGAACAAGAGCCCCTTACAGGTCTGTATTTGTCTATGGGCCGAAGGGCTGAGAGCAAGGAACCACCATACACATTAAGCTCTAGCATCCGTGTTGCATCTCTGCCTGCTTTACGCATACAGGGAACAGTCAAGATAACAGTTTTCTACAGAAGTAAGGAATTGCACAGCTAGACACTACCTCTGTCACCTTAAAATGCAGAAGTCTAACCCCCTAACTACAAAGCCCCGGGTTCTTGCATGAGACCCTGGGAACACAAAACAAAAACGGAGGTTAGACGTGAGAGAGAGAGGGTTTGGTGGGCAAAGAGCACCTGGAGTGCAGAGATGGAACAAGTGAGCCAAGCTGAAAGGGGATGTATTTGCCACAAGTCAGGCGGAGGGGTGGTAGCTGCTTCTTGCATCTGTTCTAGCCTGAGATAAGTGGAAGGTAAAGGGTATAATTTTTGCAAACGTTTCATTCCGGGGGTAAGCTGCTCCAGTTTGGTTCCCGCTTAGCGGAGGTCAGGAAGGACATGCAAACCAGGCGAGTCCCCTCACCTGCTGTAAGATGGGATGATTGTTTGGTCTGTCCACATCCTAGATATGATTTCTGTGCCCACCACGAGTATAACCTTGGGGATGGCACTTAACCCTGCCTCAGCATCCCTCATTTGACAAATAAGGAAAATTATATTCGCCTTCTCCCGAGAGGCCTAAAACTCCACCATGCTGGTAGAGCTCTTTGAGATGTGCTGACAAAAAGCACTAGAGAGGCACAGAGCTTCTCCTGTGCATCTATTAAACCAGGCACCTTTGAGCAACATCAGCCTCTTCCTGAGCAACACAGCGGCTTTATGGTGTATTTAAGGTGCTGATTAGCTTATTGGGCTTTGAGGGCTCTTCCTATTTGCATTAGACCACAGTTGTCTAGCAAGTGCCTCACCACTGCCCCAAGCACTCAGCATTGTTCTCAGTACAAAGACTCCATAAACCTTCCTTTGGAAAATATTTCAGGGGAAAAAAGGCTCATTACAGCTATCTACTCCGAGGTGGCTGGAGCAGCTCCTTTCCTTTATTTAAAGGATGCTAAAAGGTAAATGTTGCATGGTTTCATTGCATGCTATGCTCCATCTGCCAGAGCTGTAATAAGCTACAGCTGTGATTAAAACTAAGTGCTACAGACAAGCGGCTTCTTAGCAGAACGTGGAGTTGCCAGCCACCTAGGCTAAACCCCACACCCCGTGTAATCACATACAGGAGCCTTCGTGTTACCCAAGATTGCCTGGAAGCACTTAGCCTGTTTTCCCACAACTTAATTAAAACCCAAGTACAACAGCAATCCTTGAAAGAAAATCCCCTCCACAGCATTCACCTACCAGGGACTAACAACACCACAAACCATCTGCTGGAAAAAGGAATCCCATGACTGTAAATGCCGTTATTTTGTATGCTGCAAACCCTGATTTAGTTAGAAATAGAGCATTTGCTTGCTCAGACAGATCTGGCTGCATCCATAATCCCCTATATAGACGCGGCATTGTGGGAATGGTTAGTGACATGGGATTTATTTACTTCGATTTCAACATATAAAACATAGCAGAATGCCTATAAAACATTACTGATCGAGATACAAGGCCCAGATGTTATAACATTGCTGTGGTACAGGAACATTCAATATTTTCTTTTAGTCGGTGTTGGGGGGAGGGGGGGGGATGATCCACATGCTCATTTAAATTTTCATCTCCCGCTTGCCAGCAGAGATGCACAAAATTTGCTGGAGCTGATGCAGGGCCCAGGGCAGGCAGGCTCCTCTGTGCTAATATCTTACATCTATCATCTTGCAAAGCGCGCTAAGAGCGGCTGACTGCAAGCTGCACTTATC